GGATTCTGATAAAATATTTGTGTCACCGGGCCTCGTCCAAGTTTGGCCTCCAATCATTTTTTGAAGTACAAGAAATTGGCTTTCATGTTTAAACAAAATCGGATGTTGTCTGTGTCTCTAAAAAAACCCAGAGGTGGGACAAATGTATGTCTCACCGTTGAAATGTGCACTGATGACATATTGGGGTGCAGAGGCCATTGCGTATGATTGTTTGAAGGTTTGAAGGTTGGAAGGTTTCAAGTTTATGAGTTATTTGCAGGAATTTTTGAATGTTCTAGTGTTTGAGAGATTAAGTGAATCAATGTTTTGATAAATGTAATACTAAATAGGTCATATTGAATTTGAAATAATTAAGGTTGTAACCTCTAAGGCTCCTCCCATCACGTCCAATAGTGTTACATGCATTCAGAGATGCCTTCTTAAGGATGTCACCTAGCCTGCGCCTACTCTGCAACCCATGCCACCTCTTATTCGCCAATGGGGATAGCGACACATTTCATTTTTGTACTGTTTCGCCAAGTCTAATGGCGCCTCCCTTCATGTCCAATCGTGTTACATGCATGCAGAGATGCCTTCTCCAAGGCTGCCACCTAACCTGCGCCTACTCTGCACCTACACTGTAACCTCTAAGGCTCCTCTCATCACGTCTAATAGTGTTACATGCATTCAGGGATGCCTTCTCCAAGGCTGTCACCTAGCCTGCGCCTATGCAACCCATGCCACCTCTTATTCGCCAATGGGGATTACGACACCTCTCATTTTTGTACTCTTTCGCCAAGTCCAATGGCGCCTCCCTTCATGTCCAATCGTGTTACATGCATGCAGAGATGCCTTCTCCAAGGCTGCCACCTAGCCTGCGCCTACTCTGCACCTACACTGTAACCTCTAAGGCTCCTTCCATCATGTCCAATAGTGTTACATGCATTCAGGGATGCCTTCTCCAAGGCTGTCACCTAGCCCGCGCCTATGCAACCCATGCCACCTCTCATTCGCCAATGGGGATGGCGACACCTTTCATTTTTGTACTTTTTCGCCAAGTCCAATGGCGCCTCCCTTCATGTCCAATCGTGTTACATGCATGCAGAGATGCCTTCTCCAATCCTGCCACGTAGCCTGCACCTACACTGCCAGAGTGACACTTATCATGCATGCATGTACCACCTACCACATCACTTACTCTATGAAATTTTTTTGCCTATAAATACATAGCATAACATACTTCTCTCGCACCCACAATCGTCTCACTCTCTGCTACAAACTCTTTCATAATCTCTTACAATTTCAAACTCTTTCATAATCTCAGGCATTTTCAACAATGACTCTTCTCACAATGGGCGATTCTCACAGAGGCACAAGGGACAACATTGCAACATTTGTAAGTTTCTTTTATAGTTATACATTTTTCATACTTCTGGTAATGCTTTGTTCATCTTACTTACTCTTACAACTTTTACATTATTAACTCAGGATACCAAAAGATTCATAATCCGGTCTCACAACTACCTTGCTCCCGACCCATTGATCGTACCATATCTGGAATACGCAGGTTTCAAACACGTTATAAATATCTCCAACTGCACAATTGATTCAAAGTTCATACTTGCAATGTTGGAAAGGTGGAGACCATAGACCCATACATTTCACCTACCAATAGGTGAATGTACCGTCACACTAGAGGACGTGTACATGTTACTGGATCTCCCTGTCGACGGTAAGGTCGTTAACGGGTCGGTTCAACAATCCAATTCTCTGTGTGAAGAATTGTTGGGCAGGGATATGGTTGAAGTGGTGGTGCAAGAGGTCAGGGTATACTACTAACTAAGCTTAAAAATCATTATGCGACTTTGGAATTAAACGAAAATTCCTCCGAGCTAGCCAAGGTAATAAAAGCTAGAACTTATATAATGATACTATTTGGAACCTTTTTATTTCCCGAAAGTACGGGAAATAATATAAATTTTATGTATTTAAATTTACTTAAAGACTTCGAAAAAACTAGAAAGTATAGTTGGGGTTCTGCTGTTTTAGCTCACCTATACAGTTCCTTGTGTAAAAATGCAATCAAGGAAAAATGTACATTTTATGGCTGCGCTTTTTTACTTCAAGCCCGGGGTTGGTGGAGGATGGAGTCCCTAAACCCCGTCAACAACAACACATTCGTTTTCCCGTACGCGACAAAGTAAGTCATCAAGTTATATCATTTATTACTATTCATCTCTTCACCAAATATATGATAAAAAATACAATATTTTTCATTTCCTTTAGTGCGTGAGGGGTATGGATTACGACAAGAATCCAAGATTCAATGTCGCACTATATTGTAATCTATTGGATCACCTTAGCCCGGATGATGTACGTCGTACCTTTCAACTTTTCTACTTCTAAAATCATTTATATATTACATTTTCATTAACCTGATTTAATTTTATCCGCAGTTTGTCTGGAGACCATATTTGGGTTTGGGTCATGAATCAAACCCCGATGATGCAGCAATTTGAAGCGCCAAGACTGCAGTTATATGGTTCAATATTGTGGAGATGCACCACAGCGACCGTGTGAATATGCAGTTTGGAATGCATCAAGAGATACCCAATGATCCGACTTGTTTGTCCCTGTGGCATCTCAAAAGGGTCGACGCCCAATGGGGTCTTACCAACTGGAAAGACTTTGCTCCTGAATGGTGTAAGATGTGGCAGAGGCGTCACCGACATGTCTTAAAATTCTCAGTTTTCCTCAATCATGGTAATATGCGACACACGGATCAGTATTTATCTTGGTACATATCGGTTAGTAACCCTGAAATACACGTGTCTCGTCCAAGGTATTTGGTTGACCCACGAACACAATGGGAACAACCCTCATTTCCCCAACAACAAACCCAACACACATCAACCTCCCACCAACCCCCCGGACGAAACAGAACCACAGACACCCAACCACAGTTGCCACCACAATACAATTACATCCACATGCCCCACAACAAACAACAATCACCACCTCAGTACCAATACCCCCATATGCCCCACACCCAACCGCAATTTTAATCCCAATACCAACACATCCGCATACCCCACACACAATTTCAGTCTTCTGCATATCCCAATATGGGCCCCTCAACATCCAACCTTAGCCCTGATATGAGAATGTCGGAAGATTATAAACCAACCGACCCAACTTACCATCAACCACAATATCACCAAACCACCCAACATCCTCAATACCAAACATCCCAAGATCCATTTCCTTTCTACCCCTTACTCAGACAACCAATGCTACAGACCAACCATGGAACCCCACCCACCGCCAACACGACCAAACTTTAAGGGTATGAGTAACCGACTGTACCAAAGCGGATCTTCTAGATATGGAGATCTGACTGATTTCATGGATCCGGAACGCATTGACTTCGCTGGGCCATCGACCCTGCCACAACATGAAACGCGACGAAACCCAACACGGGAAAGGCGAGGACGGGGATGCGGAATCGGGGGTCATTACCGGGTTCCGAGAGACCACTGATTAATCTGTTTTTTTTATGTAATACTTATGTGTGTAATCATATTTTGTAAATAAAAAGTCAATTTTGTTGATCCTATATCGAATACGTAACGCATCGCATTGAAAAAAAAACGCCAAAATTGCCCTAGCAAATGCACTAAGGCGCCATCTCACTTGGCTTAGGGCAAGCCCTAAGCACCTAGACGCCAAGTGAGATGGCGCCTCCCCTTAAAAGGTAGGTGTAGACGCCAAGTGAGATGGCTCCTCCTTTGAGGAGTCATATGAAACATGGTTATTTACGTAATTTTTTCCGAAACATAGTTATTTACGATTTTTTTTTAATATATGGTTATTCCAAAAAAAAATTCAAAACAGAAAGCTCTGGAAGAGCACCCACTCACTGAAACATCACACGTTAGAAAACCTGGCTAAAGTTAAGACCATCAAACTCACCGTCAAGAGAACAGGAAAACTCTATTAATCTAGACACAAGATAATGGTTCTGAAACCAATTAAAAATATCTTTCATGAAAATTAATTTTTTTAATTTATTTTTTAAGTTTCAATTTAAAAGTTGTTTCCGGCCTTTACACAAATTAGACAACTACTAATTATTTTATATTGTATAGATATGTCGAATATAAATAGTAGATAACTCAATAAAATTAGATATCAATATTTAAAGTTGTAAATAATGTATGTTTATACTAGGAAACACTATTGTAGCTTCTGGGGTGAAAGTATAAGTAGATAAACAATATAGCAGTCAGTACATTGTTAAGGTAGCTGAATTGAATTTTACACCCAAGTTGAATAAAAACTGCCTACTCAATTATTCAGTGTATGCATTAAGTTACGGATAATGACATTTTAATGGCGGTCCCATAAGAGTACAAATATTCTAAAGGGAGACCAATTAAAGACACCGTGAGAAGGAAAGATCAACACTTTACACTTAACATGATATTAAAACCATGACTGTGGCCAGTAACTACCATACATGTCATAAATGCTATGTGTATTGTTGGAGGAGATAGTAAGAGAGAGACACATTATAGCATTGATATAGAACGTAAGAATAAGCAATTTTGTGAGAGACATACCACTTATCCACCTAAAATCTTAAGATGATAGGTGAGTGAGTTCTTCCACTTATATATACTCAAGTCTCCACATTTCTATCCAATATAGAATTATTTCCCTACTTACTCACACTTGTTATATTATTCTAATATGTATGACGAGTTGATGATATATGATATGGAGAGAGATATAGAGAAGACAATGTGTTAGATGAGTGCAGAAGAATTGAAAGTGTAAACATATCATTACTATATATATATATATATATATATATATATATATATATATATATATATATATATATATATATATATATATATATATATATATATATATATATATATATATATATATATATATATATATATATATATATATATATATATATTGGTGACACACATATTACAGACAAATATATAATGGAGAGTGTAGAAGGAAACAACTCGGCAGTGACAGTGGCTTTTATTCATGATGCTAATAAGCTCTCAAGGGAAGAAGAGAGACATGAAAATGTTGAAAACAACAGTGATAGATTTTCTATCACTCAGTGCATTGGTGAAACAGATACTCATTTGGATGCACTCATTACTCGCTATGCACACACTCTAACAAACTACAGCTTGCGTAACTTAGGTACGTGCTTCATTTTTCTATCTTTAGAGTTTAGCAATTTAATATTACAACAACATATCTAACTTGTACGTAATTATATTATTGAAGGATACCCTACTAATCAAGACTTCAACTATGAGGCATTAGCACCGTTGCTTCAATTTCACTTGAACAATGCCAATTTCACTTGAACAATGCTGGAGATCCATTTCTTGGAAGTAGTTTCTCTCTAAATTCAATGAAATTTGAAGTTAGTGTACTTGATTGGTTTGCTAAACTATGGGAAATAGAGAAGAATGAGTACTGGGGATACGTCACTACTGGGGGAACAGAAGGCAATCTTCATGGAATTTTAGTAGGGTCAGTTTTTCTATCTTGGACTTGCTAAACAAAGTGGAAATATATTTTAGTAGATTGATTTATATATTTAAATACAGGAGAGAGCAACTTCCAGATGGAATTCTATATACCTCAGAAGATTCACATTATTCAATATTCAAAATAGCAAGAATGTATAGAATGCGATGTGTGAAGGTTGCCTCTTTGATCTCTGGTGAAATTGATTGTGCTCAACTAGAGACTTCTCTACTTGCCAACAAGGACAAACCAGCCATCATCAATCTAAACATAGGTATTCTCCTCTTGTCTAAATAACTAATATATGAATATTGTTAGAATTAATTTAAATTTAATTAAATATTAATTTATATTTAGGAATATCTTTTAGATTATTTATATCTTTGTTAGAAGATATAAATCTTAGATCTTCTTATATCTTTCTAGAAGATATATTTTAGATTTAATTTGTGTGTATAAATAGCCTAGTGGAGTAGGTTATTCTAATTCATTGTAAATCCTTATTTTTAGAAGCTATCAGTAAATATTCCTTTTGCCTTTTATCTTCCTTGTGTTCCAACAATTGGTATCTAGAGCTCTTGGTTAGAAACTCTGGAATTTGAGAAACATTGATTTTTCATTGAGTTTCTGCGTAAATTGCACAAGGTAGAAGATGAACGGAAACGACAATATTCATTCCAAGCTTCCAGTATTTGATGACAAAAACTGGAATCGTTGGAAGATCCAGATGCACGTGTTATTTGGTTCTCAAGATGTGTTAGATCTTGTCACTGATGACTATAATCTGTTAGAAGTAGACGCAACGGAGGCCCATAAGATAACACAAAAGGCGCTGAGGAAGAAATATCAGAAAGCGTTGTTCTACGTCCATCAATGTGTGGATGCGAATGTGTTTGAGAAGATTATTGATTCTGAAACAGCAAAGACTGCGTGGGGCACACTGGTCAGATGTTACGGTGGTGACGCATCAATGAAGAAGGTGAAACTTCAGTCTCTCAGAAAGCAATATGAGAATCTCAACATGAAGGACAACGAGAAGGTTTCTGAATACATCTCTAGAGTGATTCTGATTACTAATGAGATGAAAGCTTGTGGAGAAACTCTGTCTGAAAAAGTAATTATTGAGAAGATCTTGAGATCTTTAACTTTTCAGTTTGATTACATTGTTGTAGCAATTGAGCATTCCAAAGATCTGAGCACCATGAGAGTTGAAGAGCTGGAAAGTAGTCTTGAGGTGCATGAGTTGCGTATGACTGCAAGAACTTCTGAGAGGGAAGTAAAGCAGCAGGCTCTGAAAGTAACTTCTGGTAAGAAGCATCAGAAGCAGACCTGGTCAGAAGCCAGGAAGAGAACTAATGGTGGTCAAAAGTCAGAAGCTTCAAACTCTTATAGGAAGAAGAATGTCCAGAAGGGAAAGGAGAAGTCTGACAAGAAGAATGTTCAGTGTTACTGTTGTAAGAACTTTGGTCACTATGCCAGAGATTGTTGGTCCAACAAAGAAAGGAAGTCAGAAGAAGCAAATATAGCAAGAGGAGACTTTGATGATGAACCTGTGCTATTGTTGGCTTCTAAACCTAATGATCTGAATTCATCAGAATGATGGTATATGGACACAGGGTGTTCAAATCATCTTACTGGAAACAAGAAGTGGTTGGTTGACTTTGACTCTGGGAAGAGTACAAAGATCAGATGTGCTGATTACAAATACCTCAATGCAGAAGGTATGAGAAATGTCAGAATCATTCTAAACAATGGGAAAGCAGTTGTGATCCAGAATATTTGGTATGTACCTGGCATGAAAAGCAATCTGATGAGTGTGGGACAACTGGTTGAGAAAGGTTTTTCAGTTACCATGAAGGAAAATCTTCTGAAGCTGTATGACTGTAATCAGAAACTGATTATGGAGTTAGAACAGGGAAGGAACTGAACATTCAAGGTGAATGTTAGAACTGCAGACTCTGAATGTCTTAGTGTAACAAGTGTTGTCAAGGAGAGTGAGTTTTGGCGCAGAAGATTTGGTCATCTAAATTTCAGAAGTTTAGGGCATCTAAAATCAAAGAATATGGTACATGGAATTCCTACAATCAAGAAGCCTGAAAAGTCATGCAAGGTGTGCATGGAAGGGAAGCAACCAAGATTACCCTTTGCATCAGAAGTAGCTCCAAGAGCAAAACATGCCTTGAGAGTAGTACATTCTGATGTGTGCGGTCCGTTTCCAGTAGCATCGACTGGAGGGAATAAATATTTTGTGTCATTTGTTGATGAGTTCACCAGAATGACATGGGTATCTCTCATAAAGTTCAAACACGAGGTGTTTTCTGAATTTAAAAAGTTCAGACTGAAGGCTGAGAATCAGAGTGGCCAAACTTTGAAAATTCTTAGAACTGGTGGTGGTGGTGAGTATAACTCCACAAAATTCAAAAGTTTCTGTGAGGAGAATGGAATTGAGAATGAGGTTACTGCTCCATATACTCCTCAACATAATGGTCTTGCTGAAAGAAGAAATCGTACTTTGCTAGATATGGTGAGAAGCATGCTGAAAGAGAAGAATCTTTCTCATACTCTGTGGGGAGAAGCTGTTGCAACTGCATGTTATGTGCTCAACAAATATCCAACAAAGAAATTAAAGGAAATAGTTCCTATTCAGAAGTGGACTGGAGATAAGCAAAGTGTTAGTCATCTAGAGGTTTTTGGTTCTGTATGTTACAAACATGTCCCAGAAGCCAGAAGACAGAAGTTGGATGATAGAAGTAAAGTGATGTTACTGGTGGGGTATCACAGTGCAGGATCGTACAAAATTTATTGTCCAGAAACTAACAAAGTTGAGTTCAGCAGAGACGTCATTGTAGAGGAATCAGAAGTTTGGAATTGGGAAAAATCTCGTCCTGACTCTGATGACATAACTTCTGAAGAAAGGTCAGAAATACATGTTTCTGAAGCTAGTAAAGTCTCTGACTCTGAAGAAGATACAGAAGGAGAAGATGATTTTGACTCTGACTCCGATGGTGATCAAGATTCTGAAGACAATCAAGGTTCTGGAGAAAGTCCAATTGCTGAAGCAAGTGCTTCTGAAGGGGAAAGTTCTGGTGTCCAAAGTTCTGAAGGTCCAGTTCAGAGGCAACAAAGAGTTAGAAGCATCCCAAGAAGATTTGTAGAGTTTGACATGTTGCTAGACACTGAAGTAAACTCTAAAGGAGAAGTTATTCAGTGTGCAATCTTAGTAGACTCTGAACCCGTGAGTACGAAAGAGGCTCTTAAGCACCAAGCTTGGTTACAGGCCATGAAAGAAGAACTTGATGCTATAAAGAGAAACAAGACTTGGAAGCTGACAGAACATCTAAAAGGCAAGAAAGCCATCAGCGTTAGATGGGTTTTAAAGCAGAAGCTAAAGTCAGATGGATCAATTGGCAAACACAAAGCGAGATTAGTAGCAATAGGCTTCCTACAGAAGCCTGGGCTAGATTACTTTGAAGTGTTTGCACCTGTAGCGAGACATGAAACAATCAGACTAGTGATTGCAATAGCTGCTAACAGGAATTGGCCTTTGATGCATTTAGATGTAAAATATGAATTTATGAATGGTCCATTACAAGAATAGGTGTACGTTTCACAACCTCCTGAATTTGAGAAAAAGAATCAGGAAGGGATGGTGTTCAAATTACACAAAGCATTGTATGGTTTGAAGCAAGCGCCCAGAGCTTGGAACTTGAAAATTGATTCGTTTTTCAAGGAACAAGGGTTTCAGAAGTGTGAGATGGAGTATGGTGTTTATGTTCAGCACATTTCATAAGGTAATATGATTCTGGTATGTTTGTATGTTGATGACATATTACTCACAGGAAGTTCTGAACAAGAGATAGTTGAGTTCAAGAAAGTTCTGATGAATGTGTTTGAGATGAAAGATCTTGGAAAAATGAGTTTCTTTCTAGTTATGGAATTTATATACTCTGAGAAAGGAATCATTTTACATCAGATGAAGTATGAACTAGAGCTTCTGAAGATATTTGAGCTAGAAAATTGCAAGGTTGCTATCACACCTGCTGATACGAATCAGAAGTTGGATTCTGATTCTGATGGAGAGGATGTGGATGCTACAACCTTCAAACATATGATTGGTTCTCTAAGATATTTGTGTCAGACCATACCTGATATTTGCTATGCAGTTGGAATGGTTAGCAGATTTATGAGCAAACCAGAGTGGTCCCATTATCAAGCTGCAGTCAGGATTCTGAGGTATGTGAAGAGAACTCTGAAATATGGAGTGTTATTTTCGTCTGGAAGAAAGATCGAATCAAAACTTCTGAGTTATTATGATTCTGATTGGTGTGGAGATAGAGTTGACAGAAGAAGTACTTCTGGATACTTATTCAAATTTCTGGGAGGTCCTATTTCTTGGTGTTCCAAGAAGTAACATGTTGTTGCTCTGTCAACCTGTGAAGCTGAATATATTGCAGGTGCTCTAACTGCATGTCAAGCAGTGTGGATTATGAACTTGCTGAAAGATCTGAAGATTGAGGTGAATAAACCTCTGAAGTTGATGATTGATAATAAGTCTGCAACCAATCTTGCCAAGAATCCAGTGTTGCATGAGAGAAGCAAGCATATTGAGACCAAGTATCATTTTCTGAGGAATCAAGTTCAGAATGAAATAATAGAGGTTGTGCACTGTAGCACTCAGAAGCAGCTGGCAGATGTTCTGACAAAGACTATCAAAATTGATCAATTTCTTAGTTTAAGGGATGATATTTGTGTTGTCAGCTTTGAGTAAATATAAATTAAGCGATGGTGTTAGAATTAATTTAGATTTAATTAGATATTAATTTATATTTAAGAATATCTTTTAGATTGTTTATATCTTTATTAGAAGATATAAATCTTAGATCTTCTTATATCTTTGTAGAAGATATATTTTAGATTTAATTTGTGTGTATAAATAGCCTAGTGGAGTAAGTTATTGTAATTCATTGTAAATCCTTATTTTTAGAAGCTATCAGTAAATATTCCTTTTGCCTTTTATCTTCCTTGTGTTCCAACAAATATAAGATATAAGACAATCTTGTGTCAAAATTAGCATCAAAGAAGAGTAATAAAAAAATACAAGCTCAACCGTGGGTAAGAACAACCAGTCAAGACAAATCTCCTAAAAAATAAAATAAATAAAATAGAAAAAAAAACAAGCCAACCAAACACCTGATTGAATTACAAAAAAATAAAACAAGCCAACCAATTAGCAATCCAATCTATTCTAAAGTCCTAAGCATAACAGTTCTTTAGAGAGAGCAAACTGGAGAGAGGAAGACCTAACCACCTGTAAATAAAAAAAGATGATAGTTGATCATCCACCATCCACCACACCCCTAAATACCTAATCACTTATAGGGGAACCGAAGGCAATCTTCATGGAATTTTAGTAGGGTCAGTTTTTCTATCTTGGACTTGCTAAACAAAGTGGAAATATATTTTAGTAGACTGATTTATATATTTGAATACAGGAGAGAGCAACTTTCAGATGGAATTCTATATACCTCAGAAGATTCACATTATTCAATATTCAAAATAGCAAGAATGTATAGAATGCAATGTGTGAAGGTTGCCTCTTTGATCTCTGGTGAAATTGATTGTGCTCAACTAGAGACTTCTCTACTAGTCAACAAGGACAAATCAGCCATTATCAATTTAAACATAGGTACTCTCCTTTTGTCTAAATTAAGCTGTCTTTTATAAAATAGATAAAATAGTGGCCACTTCACATCCTAGATAAAATAGATTTATTTGAAGTATTGTACACAATCACAAGTCAAGAAAACTGTTCGGAAAAATAAAATAAAGCGAAAAAAATAATAAACTAACCAAACAACCATAGAGAATTAAAAATGAAAAAATCAAACCCACCAATCAGCAATCTAATCCTTACTAAAGTCACAAGTATAACAAACCTTGAGAACAAACTGGAAGGAGAAAGACCTAACCACTTGCAAAAGCAAAAACTAAAAGAAGACAACGGACAGTTTAGCACACTCTTAAATACCTAACCATTTGAGAGAGTCCCTTTTCTAGTTTAACATAGAAGACATATTCAAAGCATGAACATGAACCAACTTCTATGCCACACGAATAATTGAAGGCATCTAGTGATTAACCGTTAAACATTTTTGATAAGAATAACTTTATTCCGCAATTTCCAACACAATAATAAGATGTTTTACAAAATCTATAAAAAAAAACAAATGATTTGTTTGTTGTAGGGACAACGTTGAAAGGCGGTATTAATGATCTTGATCTTGTAATTAAAACAATTGATAAATGTGGATTTACTAATGATCAATTCTACATTCACTGTGATGACGCTCTTTTTGGAATAATGTTGCCTTTTATGAAACAAGTGAGTAACATGATTTCTCCAATCTAAACATTTAGATGTTCTCCTGTTTCCTAGTTACGACTTCTTCTAAGACATTGTTTTTGTGTTTTGTTAGGCTCTAAGGATTAGCTTCAAGAAACCTATTGGCAGCGTAACTATTTCAGGCCATAAGTTTTTAGGATGTCCATCACCTTGTGGTGTTTTGATAACTCGTTTGAAATACATCAATGCATTTTCAAGAGATGTTGACTATATTGCTTCAAGAGATGCCACAATAACAGGTAGTCGTTGTGGACATGCTCCAGTCTTCCTTTGGTATGCTCTCACGATAAAGGGTTTAACAGGACTTGAGAATGAAGTGCATAACTGCATATTCAAAGCACGTTACTTACTAAATCAACTACGTGGTGCTGGAATTGGAGCAATGCTAAATGAGTATAGCAACATAGTTGTTTTTGAGAGACCTTTAGATGATAATTTTACTCGTAGATGGAATTTGGCAAGCAATAAAATATTGCACATGTGGTAGTGTTGAAGCATGTTACTATTGAAATGCTTGACACCTTTGTTTGTGAATTTGTCCAAAAATGATCTGTTTGGTATAAAAATGGACAAGTTCAGTCTCTATGCATTGCGAAAGATGTTGGTTCTAGAAATTGTGCTTGTTCAATACACAAACTATCAAGAAATTATTAGCTAAATTGTATGTTATGTTGATGAAATAATTAGCTCAATTCTCGGGTCGGTAGTCACATGCATTTCTTTCTTCAACATTTATTTTTAAATAACTTATGTGCCACCTTTGTTTACCTTTTGAGATTTAATTGTATTAGGATACAAAAATCGGATACATAAATATTGTATGGTTTGTTATGGATAATATTCAATATGGATGTGAATTTCCATTTTCTTACTTTTTATGTATTTCTTGACTCCTATGAGTTAAATATTAATATTGATATTTAGTGATATGTTTTTGTATTAATGTTATATAAATTGGATTAATATTGCAATGTAAACAATATTTGAAAAGAATAATATAATATTTCTCTCACTATCTCATTTATCACTACTCTCGTATTATATTATTTTTGATTAATTTTATAACACGTTACCAAAACAACTTTAAAATTTTAAAAAATGAATATCGACACTAACACATATAATAAATATATTTGTCTCGTTGATAGTACAACTACTCACATAGTTTTTTAGGATAAAAAATATTTATCTTATTTGGTGAAGGGGAAAAGTGATGTTAGTACAATATCTAACACTTCAAAAATAATTAAGTTTTTGGAAAAGCCAATGTATTGTTATGTGGAAGAACAAAATTACACATTGAGAATGTATTATATTCCTCTAAGTGTCATAAAAATTTATTAAATTTTAAAGATACTCACTGCAACATTTTTGACTTACGGCCACGCTAAAATTCTTCACAACTCAAAAATTATGGCCACATATAAGATTTGGCCAGGGTTTTCAAATCGTAGACATGTGTTTTGAAACATTGAATCCAGAGTGTGAAACTGCGGCCTTTTCTTCAATTGCCACGGTTACAAAATCACACATATATTTTAGGTGCGGTTAACAAACTGTAGATATTTTAAGCCACAAAGAAAAACCGCGACATTATAATTTTCACTTCAAACTGTAGTCCAAGCCTAAAAAAATACACCCCGCCAGAATTTCCCTCTTCTTTTTTTTTAGTTTCCCTCTCATTAATTAGTGTTATTTCTAATTTTTTTTGTAGATTAAAAAAATGAAAAAAAAAATTGAAAACGTAAAACATGAAGTGCCATAAGCCCATAATCTAATTGTGTAATGAAGTGCCATAAGCATCTGAAGCGTCTCTTTCCTCGATCGACGTCTCCCCTGTTCCTCGATCGGCCTCTCCTCTGTTCCTTGACCAACATCTCCTCTTGTTACCTGCTTCTCCTCTTCCCTGTACGATCCTCTTCTCCGCTTCTCCATTTATCCTCTTCTCCTCTTCTCTTATTTTCCTCTTTTCCTTATTCGTGATTTTTTGTTACAAGATTGTAGATTTTGTTTTGCAGTTGACCTAATCTATATTTTATTTTTCAATTTTGATTCCTTTGTTGAGGTACCAACAAAAGCTTCCCCTTGTCGATTACTGTTGGAGTTACCGGTAGAATTTCATTTTTAATTTTGTTATGATTTCATTGTTACCAGTTATGTTAATTTTGTTTTGCATGTAGATTTTGTTATGGTGAGTAACACTTAGTTTTTTTATGGTGAGTAACTAGGGTTGAAACTGATATGGACTTGAGGTTGAGAAAGTATGTTAGTAACTGATTCAAGTTAACTGCTATGTTATGTTGGTGTTAGTGATGTCAACTGTTAGTTAGTTCAATTATTCTTGTTAATTTTTTTTGTTAAACACAAAAATTTCTTCTGGCTTCATGCCCTATATAGTTTACCTTAGTTTCTTTGCCATTCATGATCAAATTTTAGGATGTGTTAGTGTTTCAGATATAAATACTATCATGACTGTCTTTATACTAGTTCTAGGAAAAAAATTCAACTGAGTCATCTATAGTCCTTGTCCTAGTTGATACAACTGTCCTGCATTGCTTGAAAGTAATGTAAAATTCTAAGGCATCTTTGTAGTATATCTATTTTTCATTCATATTTTGGTTTGATTATTTTGTGCAATTTTGTTTACTAGTGATTTCTGACAAACAACCGCCAGTCTTCCAAAACTTATGCTTTGGTAGTTTACATGATTGACTAGATTGATCCTAGGACATAGTCTTAGTGTTCTTACAGTCGGACTCAAAGGAAAACATTGTACGAATAATAACAAGGTTTTTCTATGGTTACAATGATCTCAAGATGTTTAAAGTTTGACTATGAATCTTAAATATGACTTTAAAGGGAATAGTCTGGGAATTTGTGAAAATATAAAGATAATGCTTAATAAGAAAAGTTTAATAAAATTGTTAAAAGACTAGACTGGAAACGAAAAAGGAATAAAAGTGATTAAAGACTTTGTACTAAGAAATTAATTCTGAATAAAACTGGTGGTGTTCTTACACATACATTATCAACAAACTCGTTTCTCTCGCTCCGATACTTTGAGTATAAAATGATTTTGTATACAATTCGAACACACACTTTTTCTAACATCTAAGACTTCTATTTATACTGATTTGACCCTAACGGTCCTTCTACGAAAACACGCCACGTTCGAAGATTGCATGTCTTTTGAACTGTTAGACTTCCACGTGTCTCTTTGGATAAGATCGAAGCTTTTGAATTCGAAATCTCTTCTTCTTTTCGAAGCGCCAATTCAAATAACATGACGGTCGAAATATCTTTCTTTGTAATGCTTCAAATAACTTATATTTCCACAGTTCGAAGACGACCCCTTCGATAATGGTTCAATATAGTAAAACTCTTTACTAGCTCTTCATCAACCGAAGATTCAATAAAAACATTCTTATACTTTCCCTCGAACAACTCTTTCTTCGATCAAAAATCCTTAAAACTTGTATAATCGAAATTCCCAGCTAACAAATTGCCCCCTTAAAAATATGTATTTCGTTACATAGAGAAATAGTCATTTTTGAATAACAACTTTGAATTTCAATATATTCATAATAACCACTTCTGACTAATAACAACTTCTGACTAATAACAACTTCTAATGACAACTTCAGAAACTTTCTGACTTTGGAATGTTTAAATATGAGTCAGAATCAGAAGATGAATATGAAGTTTCTGAAGATGAGTCAAAATTAGAAGTTGGCTCTGAAGGTAGATATTTCAGGCAAAGCCATTTTGGAATTAATTGTATCATCATTTTGGCTATACATTCTTTTGTTGCTTATTCCCTTGCCATGATTTTTACTTCCTGCAAAAAATGGTTTACACTTATTTAAGTATTTCCCATTTACTTTCAGGATTCTTCGATCCTGAACTAACTCCTCTACTTCATAAGCATTGTTGAGAATGCCTTTAAGATTCAAAAAGGTCATTCCCAATATGGGGACCATTTTCCTAACGTTTTATTCTTTTGATGCATAGGTAAAATTACTTTCCATACTAAGTCATTTAGAATAAACGACTTGCCTTTGACCTCTTATTGTATGCTCTTACCACTTTTTCCTTTTGTCTTCTCAATCTTTCTAAAGCATGTAACCTTTTTTCATCTAAATCTACTAATTCATTCATCATCATTTCCCAATAAAGGTCAAAAGGAATTTCCTCTTGTCTTTGAATTCTAACTGATTGTTAGTAGATTTCAATTGGCAATACTGCATCAAACCCAAACGTGAGTTGGAAAGGTGTGGTATTAGTTGCTTCTTCAGGGGAAGTTTGACAAGCCCATAATGCTTGGTCCAAAGTTTTGTGCCAATTTTTTGGCTTTTTTCCTACATGCTTCTTTACCAACCCAATTATCACTTTGTTGACTGCTTCGACTTGTCCATTCGCTTGAGCATAATAAGGTGTGGATGTCAATAATTTTAAACCTGTTTCCTTGGTGAACTCCCGCTTCTTTCAACCAGTGAAAACTGATCCTTGGTCTGTTGTGATACTCTTTGGGATGCCAAATCCATAGACTATATGTTTCTGAATAAATTTGATAACAATTTCTTGATCCATATTCACTAAAGGTATGGCCTCAACACATTTTTTAAAGTAATCTATACCTACTGTTGTACCCCAAAATTTTCCCTCCCATATTCCTCAAGATTTGCCAAGAATAATCTTCAAGTTACTCAAGTTGGCTCAAGGGTTGGACAGTCAAACCACCTCCTAAGGCAGTCAATTCAAAATTAGGGTTTTGTGTTGCATCAAGGTCCTCACATCAAAATAGCCTCAAGTTCTCTCCAATGTCCTAATATGCTCTCAAGTTCATCCATGTCAAATTTCAAGCCTTGCAGAGAAAGTTTGGTCAGTCAATTGTTCAAGAGGCCTAAAAATCAACTGTGCTAGGGCAAAACTAAAATGTGTCCCAAATACAGTCAAACCTCAAGATTTTTTGTCAACACTCTAATTTTGAAGGATAATTCATCATTTGATCAAGGGATGATCATGATTCATCAAGGATTGCTCAATATTCATCAAGATTCAAGAGTTGCTAAAGTAGGGTTTTGTAGGAAAAGTCAAGTCAACTTTGACCAAGCATAACTCTCTCATACTTTATGAGAAATGACCCATCCAAATCTCATTTTGAAGAGGATGCAATTTCCTACAATCCATATTCACACCCTAAGATCAAGAAATGCTCTCAGAAAAAGTTACAAATTTGGACATTATAGGTCATTTTTGAAAGTCAACAAAAACACCTTTTTATTCCAAAGCTTATAACTTGAGCATGGAACATCAAAATGATATTAGACCAAAAGGGTTGATTATAATACATCTCAAGGTTTCTAAAAAGTCCAATAACACTTCCAAAAGTTCAAAATTGAAGAAGTTGTGCATTGTTGAAGTTGGGAATTTTTCCAAAATTGCCAAAAGTCAACTATCCTCAAAACTCCAATTTTTGACAAAAGGGCCCACTTTTTCCACTTGATATAGTCTTGTCACGCCACACACGCGTTCCATCTTTAATTTCTTGTACATTCATCTATTTTTCTATTTTATTTCATTTTTATTGATTTAATTCATTATTAATCAATATTAAATCAAATAAAATCTAAAAATTGATGTAATAAGATTCT